AGAATACTTCCAGAGTTTCCATGCCCTTTCCTAAGCAATAACTTATTAACTACAAAAAATAGTAATTGTAGAGTGAAAATCTGACAGATGCCACCTTAGCCAAGCTATCAAAGTTAACATCATCAAAACGAGACAAATTGACATCATGTATTTCCTGATATGATGCACTGCAAAGGACAAAAATAGCTACAAGTTCTCTGACAGTTTTCCCATAGTGTGGTTTACATTCCTTACACTTGAATCAAGGCAGACTTTCTGACTACTCTGACAAATGAGTAAAGAAGTGATGCTCTGCTAATGTCTAAGCCCAGGTCTAAAGAAGCTGACAGGCCAGGCTTGGTGGCTCACCTTGATAATCCCAGCACTTTGGGAGGCCGAGATGGGTGGATCACCTGAGGTCAGGAGTTCGAGAACAGCCTGGCCAACATGGTGAAACCCTGTCTTTACTAAAAATACAAAAAATTAGCCGGGCGTGGTGCCGGGCACTTGTAATCCCAGCTACTTGGGAGGCTGAGACAGGAGAATCACTTGAACCCAAGAGGCGGAGGTTGCAGTGAGCCAAGATTGCACCATTGCACTCCAGCCTTGGCAACAAAAGTGAAACTCCATCTCAAACAAACAAACAAAAAAAGCTGACCTGACAATAGTTCCCCTTTCTTTGTTCTGCAATGTTTGTTTTTGAACCCAGCCAATCACCATGCTGCAAGAAGCCCATGCCATATGAACAGGCCGCCTACAGATGCTCAAGTCTATAGCTTTAGCTGAACTCTTAGCCAATAAACAATATCAAATGCTGCTGTAAGAATAGGCTATCTTGAATGTCAAGCACAGGTGAGCCTTCGGATGACAACCGCCCTAGCTGCAACTATATGAGAGATCCCAAAGGAAAACCATCTAGCTGAGCTTCAACAATCTGCAGATTCATGAGAGATAATAATGAATTGTTATTTTAAGCTACTAGGTTTTGAGGTGATTTATTATGAAGAAATAGTAACTGAACAGCAGCTAACAGTATAAAACTTAAGCTCCATGAGACTTGGAACTTGGTTATCTTTCCTGCAGTATTCCCAGCCTCTAGATAAGTGCCTGGCACATAATAGATATATCAATAAATATTTGTGATGAATGAACAACTGGTAATATTACTGATTTGAGAAAAGAATTTGAAAAGCCACTTATCTTTTAAACAGCTAAGCAAAGTTGAAATGTTTGTCTTCTTTCTGTTTAATAATAACTTGTTCAAGCAGAGAAAGTTTTTAAAAATGCTATTAATCTTAAATCTACATTCAGAAGTAGGTTGCATATTTGACCTACCTAGAAGTAGGTCTCTGAAAAAAATAGAACGTGATGACCTAAATTTTTTTTTTTTTT